GTGTCCTTTTTTGAAGTGATCTTTGTTTACCCGCCTTTTTCAACATCACTCTCATTTCACATGTTCTATTTCCTAGTTTTACTTCTCCTAGTCTACATTTTTATTAAGCTTATATTACCAATACTTTATGAGATATTTAAATACCTTATCGCCGTTCCTATACTATCCAAAAGAAAAAACTTGAAATCTTTCGGGGAGTGGGCAATCATAACAGGGGCCACTGATGGAATCGGCAAAGCATTCGCTGAGGAGCTTGCCAAAGATGGACTAAATATCATGCTTATAAGCAGAAATATTGATAAACTGAGACGAGTTGCGTGTGAATTAGAAGAATGCTATAAGGTGAAAACGGAAGTCTTCGCCTGCGATTTTTGCAAGGTTTTTTTCTCCAAACTGATCATTTTTAGATTGATTTTTACGACAAGTTAGAAGCTGCGGTTAATGGACTTTCTTCTATTTGTTGCCTAATCAATAATGTTGGCATGAGTCTCACATATCCTGATAGTTTTGCTTCGAGTCCTCTTACTACTGCTGATAAAATCAAAGATATTGTTCTATGCAACGTTTTATCTGCAAGTATAATGTCTCGAATTGTCTCTTCCAAACTAGAGAATCAGGCTTCACGTGCTTATATAATCAACATTAGTTCATATTCTGGGACTATTCCAGTACCTCTCCTTGCACTCTATGCCGGAACGAAGGCATTTATATGGAATTTTTCCCGTTCTCTTTCTCTTGAATCTTCTAAAGTTGTCGTTAAAACGTTGGCTCCAGGCTTTGTGTCAACATCAATGACGCACAACAGACGCACTTCAATTCTGGTTCCATCAGCTCATCAATATGCCTGTTCTGCACTTAACACACTAGGAGTTGAAGCCCATGGGGCCGGTTATTTGCCTCACGCCCTTTTTGCTATTGTCGTAAATGCCGTTCCTTCTTTTATACGTTCTCGCTTAGTTTATTCTCAGATGCATTCTCTCAGGGCAAAAACACTTAAAAAGATGGAAAATACAAGTAAAAAGACTGGTTGAACCTATGGCATATAAACTATTAATCCATTTTCTTATAATTAAAGACTCATTTTTAAAATCGACTCAATGAATTCCTGCTTTTACTTATGTGGCTATTTCAAGTTTTTTTTCACTACTTTAACGAAATTTTTACACAGTTCTACTATATGAAAGGTATATAAAATAATATTCTGAACATAGACATGAACGACCAAGGTATTGTAGCCTGTTTCGGTCGGAGTTTTCTTTCGCTGTACATAAGTGTTTTGACCCTTGTTCTTATCAAATTGGTCTAATTCGACGTACTTTGTTCGAAGTCCTTTTATTACAATCGATCTTATTTTAAAATACGAATGTACCTCAGGCATCAGTTATTTAACAATGTAAGGGTGCGACTAATTTAATTGTTACAGAAAATAGATCTTTCTGTCCATTGGCCTCTACACTAGTTTCTCTCTGTAGGGTGCCTTGTTAATTAAAAATGAAAGGGCTCTCCTATGCCTTTAACTTTCAGACTGTCATGCTTCTTAAAAGGCTCTCTGAGCTTGTTTCATTTTTGGATTCATCTATGCTCGATTAAGTTTTGGGTATCCCAGAATAAGTCGAAATTCCTAGCTATTCTGAAGTGAAACGCCTTTTGGGAGTCAAGTCTAGGGAAAATTTATTGAAGTGCTCAGCTTTATTCCATTGTGGCAATTCTATTATCCTGTCAAGATATCTGCCGTTCTCATATCACTACTCTGTAGATTCTAGTGCTGGCGATTTCTTCATTTATTACTAAGTTGGAGTTAATTCTTGCATTTAAGTCTTGACATTAGTTCCTTGATGCATCTTGGCTTCACTTGCTTATATATATTGCTCTCGGGGAGGGAATCGATACTTTTTTTAGATGATCCAAAGAATCCATGATAATGGAATTTTGCAGCATGCGCTTCATACGCATAGGATGTATCACTATCAATATGCTATATAGCCCTCCATCTGCCAAGTTATGCTAATTTCTTGCGTCCAATCACTGACCAGATACGTTCTCAGACATTTT